GGGGGAATCTTGAGAGATCATAAGGGTGAGCTAGTGATGCTTTTTCTATACCATTTGGGAATGGCTCCAACAACCAGGCCGAGACTCTAGCAGCCTCTCATGGTATTGAGTGGTGTTTACAACATGGCTAAAGAAAATATTGCTAGAGGTGGATTCAGAACTCCTTGTGAAATGGCTACAGCTCACTGCGAAACCTCCTGGCAGCTGCAACAATCAATTCAGGAGCTTATTAATTATACCAGGTAGCTGGATTTTTTCAGTTGTCAGCATACCTTCAGGGAAGCAAACTCCACAGCAGACTTCCTCTCTAAAAGAAGCCACAAAACCGATATAGTGCAGCACTATTACACTGTCCAACAACTTCCAGCAGTAGTCAAAGGAAGTTTTTTATTAGAACGAATGGGAATATCATATTTCAGAAGAAAGAAATTAAAGAGAATCAAGCGACCTCCATGAATCCTTTTGATACCTTTATAAAAAAAAAATCTTTAACTATTGTTAGGTTTAGCTCTCCTTAGTCCTTATTTGTCTTTTCTTATTATGTAAGGGGAGAGTCTCCCTTGTTTATGCATTACTAGATTATTGTATAGAGAGGAGTCCTCTCTTTAGGATTTTTCTAGTCTTTTTATTGTAAGGGGATGAGAGGTCTTTCCTTAGTAGGAAAGAGAACTCAGAACCACCTTAGGATCGGAGGTAAGGTTTATGTCCCCTCCTTCTATTTTTTTGCTTCATTAATGTTAAGGCCTGGGGGTGTTCCTATGCCCCTGACCCCTTCAAGGGTCATTCAAATAATAATCAGAAAAAAAAAAAAGAAAAATCCTCAACCCTAAACCTTATATACTAAACTCTAAACCCTAAACCCTAAGCCCTAATTCCTAAAACCAAAACCCTACATCCTAACCCTAAACCCTAAACCCCAAACCCTAAACCCCATACCCGAAACCCTAGCCCTAAAGCCTAAAGTCTAAACCCTAAACCCTAAACCCTAAACCCTAAACCCTACAGCTTAAACCCAAAACCCTAAACCTTAAAACATAAACCCTAAACCCACATTCCTTATCCACAAACCCTAAACACACAACCCTTATCCATAAACCCTAAACTCTAAACCCTAAACCCTAAATCCTAAATCCTAAATCCTAACTGTAAACCTTAAATCTTAAACCTTAAAGCCTAAACCCTAAACCTAAACCCAAAACCCTAAACCCTAAACCTTAAACCCTATACCCTAAAATCTAAACCCTAAAACCTAAACCCTACACCTAAACCATAAACCCAAAACCCCTTAACAATAATCCTGAAACCCTACCCTAAACCATAAACCCTAATCCTTATATCCTAAATCCTAAACCATAAACCCTAAGCCCTAAAACCTAAACCCTAAACCAAAACTAAACCTAAAACCCAAAACACTAAAACCTAAACCCTCAACCCTAAACCCATAATCACAAACCCAAACCCCTAAACCCTAAACCTTCAACCCAACATCCGAAAACCTATACCCTAAACCTTAAACTATAGACTATACACCTAATCCCTAAACCAAAGACCCTAAATCCTAAACACTAAACCCTAACCCTAGTGCCAAATGCCTAAACCCAAAACCCTAATTCCTAACTCTAAACCCTAAACCCTAAACCTAAACCCTAAACCTAAATCCTAAACTCTAAACCCTAAACCCTAAACCCTAAACCCTAAAATCAAAACACTAAATCCTAACCCTAAACCCTAAACCCTAAACCCTAAATCCTAACGCTAAACCCTCAACCCGAAACCCTAAACCATAAACCATAAACCATAAACCCTAAACCCTAAACCCTAAACCCTAACCCTAACCCTAGACCCTAAACCCAAAACCCTTAACCTTAAAACCTAAAGCCTAAACCCCAAAGCCTTAACCATAAACTCTAAACTCTAAACCCTAAACCCTAAAGCCTAAATTATAGCCGTAAACCCAAAAGCCTAAATCTATAAACCTATACCCTAAACCCTAAACCTAAACCATAAACCCTAAACCCTAAACAATAAACCCAAAACCCTAAATCCTAAACCATAAACCATAAACCCTAAACCCTAAACCCTAAACCCTAAATCTTAAACCCTAAACCCTAAACCCTAAACCCTAAACCCGAAACCCTAAACTTAAACCCTAAATCCTTAAACCTAAACCCTCAACCCTAAACCTTTAACCACAAACCCAAACCCGTAAACCCTAAACTCTAAACCTTCAACCCAAAACCCTATACCCTAAGCCTTAAACTCTAGACTTTACAACCTAAGACCTAAACAGAAGACCCTAAACCCTAAACCCATCACTTCCCCATTTCACAACTGTTTCTCTCTCTAATTTCTATCTCTAAGCTTAACGCTCCTAAATTTCCAGCCCTAGGCTTAACTTGGTGTGCTCATTTGAATTATAACAGGGTCATTCTCGAAGTTGACTCCCAACTTCTTGCGGACTATTTTTTGAACAAAACAGCGACTCCGTGGTCCGTTTCTGGCCAAATGCAAAGGCTACAACAATTCTCCTCCAATTTCCCTCAGATTAAGTGTATCCATACACTTCGAGAGGTCAACTTTGTAGCAGATAGACTCTCCAACAACAATCATTAGCTGACCAGCCCACTTGTTTATTTCAACACACAGCAGCTCCCCAATCTAGCAGCAGCATACCTTCAACTGGACATGGTAGGCATGGCAGGTTTCAGAAGAAGGAAGTTGAAGAGAATTAAGGAACCACCTTAATCCATTTCCAGTAAAGAAGGATTTGTAAGGAGCTTGAACTCAATCAAACCCTTCTTTGATGATCATCCAATCATCAACACTTTGGCTACTCTGTTGTTAGGATAGTCCTTAGTTGAGTCATTTCCTTTACATTACTTGTAAAGGGAGAGTCTCCCTCATTTTTGCTTTCCTAGATTCCATGTATAGAGAGGAGTCCTCTCACATAGGTGCATAGAAGATAGGTTTCTTTTCTAGTTTGGGGAGGAGTTGGAGAACCTACTAAGGATGCTTAGTAGGCTACCAATTCTTGTACCACCATTAAGCGGAGGTAAGGTTTATGTCCCCTTCCTTGTAATTTTGCTTTTATTAATGCTAAGGCCTGGGGGTGATGCTCAGCCCCTACACCTCCAAGGGTATTCAAATAATAATAAAAAAACCATAAATCTTAAACCCTAAAACTTAAACCCTAAAACCCAAACCCTAAATGAAATCTTAAATCCTAAACCCTAAATACTTAACAAAAAACACTAAACCTAAACCCTATAACCCTAAAACATAAACCCTAACCCTAAACTCTAAATCCTAAACCCTGAAACCTAAATAATGTTAGAAGTGATCGTCCTCCAGCTAATCCTCCTAATCTTCCCAAAACGGATCCTTTGGCTGCACCGGCCCTTTATACATTGGTGCAAACCTATGCTGATAGACTTAGATATAATCAGGCTAAATGTGATGTTCCCATTACTTTGATTGCTCCTGAAATTACCACCAAACAAGGCCTTCCTGCTGTTTTGTATGTGAAAGAAGAGGTGATGAGAGATTTAGCAGTAGCCTTCAAATTTACTCTCATTGGGAAATTTAGTTACACCATGCCTAAGTTAGAACTTATTAGGAAGAACTTCATCTTGCAAACTCAATTATTGGGTGGAGTTAAAATTGCCCATTTTAGTTCTAGACATGTGTACATTGATCTTGATAATGAGCTTGATTACAATATGGTTTGGACTAAGAAAAGAATGAGTATAACTGGATAGGTGATGCGAATTCAAGTATGGACTCCTAATTTTAAACCTGCTGAAGAAACTCCTATTGTCCCTATCTGGATTTCGCTGCAAGAACAACCTTGGCATTGCTATAATAAGGAGTTTGTGACTGGATTGCTCTCACCTATTGGTAAAGTGTTATACTTAGATTCTGCCTCTATTAAAAATACTAGGGGTAGTCAAGCTAGGGTGAAGGTACAAGTTGATCTTACACAAAAGAGACCGCCTTATATATGGATGGGTTATATAGGGGAGGATATCACGGATAGGAGATGGCAAAAAATAGAATATGACAATATTCCAGATTACTGTGTTTACTGTAAGCGTCAAGGACATTTAGAAAGTGATTGTACCATAAGGCAAAGGGATGAGGATAACAAGAAAAAAGATATGGAGGCACTGAGAAAGAAGAATTATAAAGAGATGGACAAAAATACTCAACCAAAGAGTCAAAAAGAAGGTGATCGGAAGGAAGGTACTAATCAAAGTATAATAAACAAAGAGACCAGGAACAAAAGCAATATCAGCAATACGATCAATGGCAAACACAAAAAAGGAGGAACAATAATCAATTACAGGCACCTAGAGGCAATCCTAAACATGCAGAACAGGCCACCAATCAGGCAGGTATAACTAATATTCCTACACAAAATACATATATTAATCTTGATGTGCAGGAGTCATCACATAGTCTAGAGGTTCTGGGCAATTACAAAGGCACCAAATGAGATAGCAGACCTCATACAGCAACAACAAATCAGAAGGGTCAAGATGAGTGTAACAGGAAAATAGAAAATGTTGGAAAGGACATTACCAAGCAATTACAGGTGGATATAATTTCTAAACAGGTAACAGAGATCAATAAAGGAAAGGAAGTATATACAGGAAGATGGTACAATATTGACTCAATGCTCCCATCCCCTAGTGTCATTGATAATGTTGATAATATTATTGCTGAGGTAGGTGTTGGAGGTTTGGATGGGAGGGAACATGAGACACATCCTGACTTGCAGGAAGGCGTGTCCAAAAGGGAGGGGGGAACTGACTCCTCTTAGACATAAGGAAGTGGAATTTGACCGTAGTGGAGACTCTAGAGCCCCTGCTACCCCTTTCAATAATCAACAGAAAATTACAAATGTACAGGTCACAGATACAGGGCAGATTTAATAACAAATCAGGAGACAGATTAAGAAAAAGAAAAGAGAGGCTATAAAAAAGAGATTGCAACAGAGTATGGGTATAAACACAGCTAGGATTGATACAGGTCAACAGACTGATCCTGATGATTATGGGGCACTTAACTCTGAGGATGACCTGGATCTTGATAATCAATATCTCAACAACCTATTACAAACAAGTCTGACACCTCTAGGAGACCCATAACTAGGTCCAAATCAAAAGGTTATTAATGATTACAACCATTTGTTGCAATGCTAGGAGTATCAATACCAAAGGGTCTTTGGAAAGGCTTCAAACACACAAAAAAATTCAGCATTTATCTATTATTGCTATACTGGAACCTTTTACAGACAATACTCATATTGACTTGGTAAGAAGTCAATTACAGATGGATCATGCAGTCAGTAACCCTAATGGGAAAATTTGGGTTTTTTGGTCTAATAAAGTAACTGGTCATATTCTGGAAAAGCATGCTCAGCACATCACTATTACTTTTAAGCACACAGATATTTCTGAGAAATTTATGATGTCTTTTAGCTATGCTAAATGTAAGGATTATATGAGGAGATCTTTGTGGGACAGGTTAATCTTTTATGCTAATATGGATTTACCTTGGTGTACAATTGGTGATTTCAATGTTATCACTTTTATAGAGGAGAAGCTTGGGGGAATACATTATAATATGAATAAGAGTTTTGACTTTATTGGAGTGATAGAGGCATGTGGATTGACTAACTTAGGATACACAGGGCTTCCATTTACTTGGTGCAATCAAAGAGATGCAGAAGCTAGAGTTTGGAAAAGATTAGATAGGTCTATGGTTAATGATAAATGGCTAGAGGTTATGCCTCAAACTACTATAGAGAATCTATCTTCTGTTGGTTCAGATCACAGTCCCCTGCTAATGGAAATGACTAAGGTTAATGAGAGCCACATCAAATATTTCAAATTCTTACATTTTTGGGTCGACAATGAAACTTTTTTGAAAACAGTACAACAGTGCTGGGAAAAGGGAGTTACTGGCAACCCAATGTGGAAATTACATCAGAAATTGAAGAAAGTAACAGCTACCCTTAGTAACTTGTCTAAACATGAGTATGGAGATATCTTTCGTAAGGTCAAGGAGTTTGAAGAAACTATCAGGAATTCTGATGCAGAACTTATGACAAACAACAATGCAGCTGTTAGACAGAATCTACATCAGCTGAATGCAACTTACATTAGGTACTTGAAAATGCAAGAGTCTGTTCTTAAACAAAAGACACAACTTCAATGGTTTAAAGATGGTGATGCTAATACCAAGTACTTTCATGCTTTGATGAGAAGTAGAAGAAGGAGGTTATATTTACATAAAATTTGTAATGCAAATGAGGTGTGGATACAGGGGGAGGAACACATTGCTCAGGCAGCCTGTGACTATTATCAACAAATGTTTACTAGTCCTATTGATAGAATAGATGAAAGAATTCTTCAACTCATACCTACAACAGTCACTCTTGAACAAAATGAGATGTTGCAAGCAATGCCTAGTATAGAGGAACTCAGACAGTTGTGTCTGCTATGAACCCAAACTCAGCTGCAGGACCTGATGGTATAGGAGGTAAATTTTATCAAGCTTGTTGGGGTATTATTAAAGATGATTTGTTGGCAGCTGTACAATATTTCTTTTGTGGTAATATTATGCCTAAGTTCATGTCTAGTACATGCTTGGTTTTGATTCCAAAAACTGAACAGCCTACAAGATTCACTGATCTTCGACCTATCAGTCTTAGTAACTTTACCAACAAGATAATTTCTAAAATTTTGAGCATGAGATTGGCTACTGTTCTGCCTTTATTGCTGTCAGACAATCAGTCTGGGTTTGTAAGAGGTAGAAGTATAACAGAAAGTATCATGTTAGCACAAGAAACTCATGGTATTAAAAAACCAAACACAGGTAAGAATGTGGTTATCAAACTTGATATGACCAAGGCATATGATAGAGTGTCTTGGGCATTAACCTGTTTGGTCCTAAGGAAATTTGGTTTTGGGGAGATATTTATTTATTTAGTTTGGAGAATTATGAGTAACAATTGGTATTCTATTATCATTAATGGTCATAGGCATGGTTTCTTTCATTCCACTAGAGGACTTAAGCAAGGTGACCCTTTATCCCCTGCCCTATTTATTTTAGGAGCAGAGGTACTGACCGGGTTACTTAATTCCTTACTTCAGCATCCAAGCTATAGAGGCTTCTTTATGGTACCTAAAGGACCCCAAATCAACCACTTGAGTTTTGCAGATAATATTATTATTTTTGCTTCTACTGACAGACATTCCCTAAAACTCATTATGGACAATTTAGGGGCATATGAACATACTTCTGGCCAGTTGATTAACAAAGAAAAAAGTCATTTTATGGTTCCAGACAATACATCACAGGACACTATCCATACCATTCAAGAAGTTACTACTTTTTCCCAGAAAAGTAGCCCTATTACTTATCTAGGATGCCCTCTGTATATTGGTCGACAGAGGATTATCTATTATTCACATTTAGTTGAGAAAGTCTCCAAAAAAGTATGTGGTTGGCAGGCAAGGGTACTTAGTTTTGGGGGCAGAATTACTTTGATCAAACATGCCTTGCAATCTATACCTATACATATTATGGCTGCAATTTCTCCACCTAGTACTACTATCAAATACATTGAGGCCATTATTGCTGATTTTTACTGGGGAAGGGATCAAGATAAAAGGAAATATCATTGGGCTTCTCTTGACACCATGAGTTTACCATATACTGAAGGAGGGGTAGGGATCAGAAGACTATCAGACATTTGCACATCCTTACAATACAAACAATGGTGGAATTTCAGAACAAAAGTAACTTTATGGAGTCAATTTCTTAAAGCCAAATATTGCCAAAGAGCTCATCCAATTGCAAAAAAGGTGGATACTGGAAATTCATTGATGTGGAGATACATGATGAAAAACAAAATTAAAGTTAAAGAGAATATAGGCTGGAAAATTAACTCTGGCAGCTACTCTTTTTGGTGGGATGATTTACTAGGAGGGGGTGCCCTAGCTAATTATACTACTGATATATCAAGTCTTAACAAGGCTACCATTGCACACTTTCTAGTAGATGGAAAATGGAATGAAAAAAAATTGCGACAACAGGTTCCTCCTCTCCTTATCCCTTCTATTATAAATACTAATGTGCAGCTAGTGCAGGGACTTCAAGACAGTGCAATCTGGTAAATCACTGAAGATGGAAAGTTCACCTGTAAATCAGCTTGGGGAATTTGCAGAAAGAAGAAGGATACTGCTGTTATTAATTGTCACGACCCAAGCCTAGGGCCTAGACGTGACATGGCGAATGAGGAACCCGAAGGAACCCCAAACAAGCCTCTCAAACTTGTCATCACACTTCATCGGTCGCGGAAGTACATTCAACATTAATTAACGGGAAATAGGGACTAAGGCAAACCATTTCAAAATGACATCATAGAATAAGAGTCAAGCTCGTTTACAAAATACTTGTCCAACTCACACCTCTACATACATAGATAGGACGGGGGCCATGACATATTACCGGCTCCCCTCATAGTTAAAATACAATTGCAAGCTAAAGTCTCAAAACATAGGAGTAAGAAACATAACCTAGCCCTCGAATTATTGAGGACTCACCAACAAACTCGGATAAGCGTCGTACTAGCCACGTGAATGGAGAGAAGGATCAAGAGTAGCTCCGGTCCCTACATGGTGACATTATGTAGGCAAAATATGCGTTAGTACTTGGAATGTACTAAGTATGCGGGGTGCAACACAACAATAAACAAGGACACAATCGAAATACAAGAAATAGTTTCATAGGCATTATGAATAACAATATGAGGATGCATGATCAAAGTGAAGTCAAAACATGTTTAAGTAAATCTATACTAATAGTAGATATCATATGTGTATGCATGATCCAACCAATCTATAACCCCAACTTAGGATGGGGGATGCCGTTCACACCCGGACACCCTGGTGGCAAGGTATAAACCCCTCACATGGTTGATGTTGGTCACACCCCAAGCATCCTAGGTGGTGAGATATAAACCTCTCACATGGTTGATGTTGGTCACACCCCAAACATCTTAGGTGGTGAGATATAAACCTCTCACATGGTTGATGTTGGTCACACCCCAAACATCCTAGGTGGTGAGATATAAACCTCTCACATGGTTGTCCGGTTCTTTTCCCCCGGACCGGGCATGGTCATGCAACACTTTATATAGGAAATTCTCATTAGGCTCTAATGCAATCTCACGTATGGAATGAACATATACACAAGCTTAGTTTGTCATCAACACATCTTTGAAGTTCCATACATCTCATAACTCAAGCTTTAAAACATCAATTTATCAATTCTCCATAGTTGGACATTTTGTCAAACACCTTGAAGGCATGTAATGAAATCAAAGAGCATGGAAATTAGGGTAGTAATTATGCAACCAAAACAGTGAACAACCTACAACAACACCTTTACATTCATAACATGATCACATTATCTTCATTGGATTCTCATTCATATAATGTCATGATAACACTCCAATTTCTCATACTATGCCTTTAAGGCCATAAGCCTCACATACCAATACACCAACAATACACCATAAAATAAGCATGGGTAATGACATACTTCAACAATCTAAAGACCTTTAAACAAGTTTGATTCATATACATTCATTATCTAGCAACCACTTCATAAAGGCATAAACTAGGAATAGAGAGAAATCATGGGTTCATGGAGTATTTTCATCTTAAATCGTCAATACAACAACAATATAACCATAAAGTGTCATTAGAAACCTTTTAAAACCATTTGATGGAAGAACCCATGAGATTGAGTGAAAACCTAGATTTTTCATATTTTGAAGTAACTTTGGATTTGGCTCCTTGTATGGAAAATTAGACAAGGATCAAGACCCCCATACCTTTGCTATGATCTCCCACGAAAATTGATGAAGAAAGCCTTGAATCCAAAGCCCTAGCTCCCACTTCTTCTTCTTCTTAAATGGAGGATTGTAGAGAGGGAAATGTTTTTTTTTGGGATGGGAATTGGATTATGGTATCTAGGAATTAATATAAGTCCTTTGAAAAAAAGGGTCCAACACTTAGAAAAAAAAACAGGCGGGTGAACAGTAGATGAACAGTAAAATCAGCTACTGGAATTTGGATTTTCTGCCGGACAGACTTTACGAAAATGGGCATAACTTCTTCGTCCGAACTCCGAATAAGGTGAAACGAAGTGAGTTAGATAGCTAACTCAAAGGGCTTTCCATGGATATATTATTGGCCACCAAATAATTTGTGTGCTAGGAGATATGACCCTCCAAAGTAGACCCTCGAAAAAGGCTTCACTTGGAAATTTTGGATTTTGATACGGTTGCTCTAAAATTTGGGTTAGACCCATTTCCCACTCAATTTGACCCCCTAAACAAGAATATGAAGTCGGATTTTCGAAAAACGAAACGAATTTTGAGATATATGGAAATTACAATTATAGGTGTTTCCGAAGCACATTTTCGGGCATTTTTTGGGGTCGTTTCAATATCTCCCCCTTGGGAACATTCGTCCCCGAATGTGGAAGAGACGTACAAGGCAAGACTTAGTAAGAACATATCAGCCCCAACATAAATGCAAAAAATTTATTTAAACATCACTTCAAGATTTCAAAACTTAGTGTAAAGCATCCATAACTCATCAATTTAAACATATATGCACATTAATGATTCAGAGGCTGAAATGTAGGACTCGATGGAGTACAAAGGACTTGATTTAATACCTTAGGCTTGAGTAGAGTTGAATAGATAAGGATAACGTCTTTGCATGTCCGCTTCGGCCTCCCAAGTAGCACTCTCCACTTGTTGATTTCTCCAAAGCACCTTAACGGACGCCACTTCTTTGTTCCTCAACCTTTTAACTTGTCTATCTAAGATCTGAACCGGGACTTCTTCATACGTCAAATTATCTTCTACAACACCCACAACCTCAAGAGGTACAATAGCGTTAGGATCACCAACACATTTCCTCAACATCGATACATGGAATACCGGATGAACTAATTCCATCTCCTTGGGCAACCCCAACTCATAGGCTACTTTACCAACCCTTTTTATTATCTCATAAGGACCGACATACCTAGGACTTAATTTCCCCTTCTTACCAAAACGAACCACACCTTTCATTGGAGAAACCTTCAAATAAACCCAATCACCCACTTTGAATTCAAGATCCCGTCTCCTCACATCGGCATAAGACTTTTGACGACTTTGGGCTGTTTTCAACCTCTCCCTAATCATCCTTACCTTCTCAAGAGCATCCATGACCAGATCCGGACCCAACAAGGCCACCTCTCCGACTTCAAACCACCCAACCGGTGACCTACACCGTCTACCATAAAGTGCCTCAAAAGGAGCCATACCGATACTAGAATGATAACTATTGTTGTATGCAAATTCAATCAAAGGAAGATGATCATCCCAACTACCTTTCAACTCCAATACACAAGCTCTAAGCATATCCTCCAAGGTT